CGTGCGGCTCCTCAGCGGGCTTCTCCTCACGATGAGTGGCAACAACCCGTGAGTGCTCTCCCGGAGGAGGGCGCGCCGGGCGGCTGTGGGACCGAGGGGGACAGGGCGGGACCTCGCAGGGCGGCTGGGGCTCTCTTACGGTCAGGGAAGGGGTCAGGTGCGCTTTTAGAGCTGTCCCTCACGCCGGGCCACACTCCCCGGCCCTGGGGGTTGGAGCCCGGCTCTGTCAGCCTCTGTGTCCGGGGTTCAGCGCAGGCTGCGCCCTTTAGGGTACACGGCACCAACGTCCTGGTAAAGGTGGAGCGATCTTCTTTTAATGGTGCCCTGCGCAGATCGTGGCTTTCCCTGACTCAAGTGATTCACTTTAGTTCCCAGGACATCCCTGTAAGATAACACTTTACGTTTTGAATGGGTTTTGAGGTACTAATTGAAGCCAGGCTCCCATTCTGAAACCCTGACTCTCCACCACTTCCACAAATGTACTGGAAATACTATAAAGGTGGTTTGTAAAGTGTAGGAACGTGTGCATTGGGACCAGGAGAGCTGTACAAAGGCAGAGGTGCTTTGTGAGCTTGAGTCTGCTCAGACAAAATGTGTTTTAATGGACATTGACAACGTGTGGCTTGTTATGGGGAGGATGTGGACTGCACCGTTATTGGAAGCAGTGGCCAAGCAGCTAAACACAAGCTGTTGTTAGTAATGAGGTGTCAGGAGTGGCTGCTACATTTGTTTGTGTACAGATAAAAGACATTTGCAAGATAATCCCTTTGTGAGGAGGTTGTGTCTGTTACCCAAGGGCCCTCCCAGTGCAGTAAGGAAGCAGCAGCAGTTGGAAGTTGAAGCCAGGCAAACAAAAGACACGGATGTTTCGGGTCTATAAGGTTCTGGTTCTTAGGCAGTTAGCTGATTTCAACCTTTCTGTTTGCATTTCTTCTAGGGAACTGTTTTCACCATCTCAGAAATACCAGCTGCTTGTATATCATGCAGACTCTCTCTTCCATGATAAAGAATATAGAAATGCTGTAAGTAAGTATACGATGGCCTTGCAGCAGAAAAAAGCATTAAGTAAAACTTCAAAAGTAAGACCTTCTACTGGGAATGCTGCATCAACTCCTCAAAGCCAGGTATTTAAAAACTGACTAATAAAGTGATCATGTGTCCCCTTACAGTGAACGTTGCTGACTCAGTAATATAGCATCTGATTGTGGATTTATCACATGAACCCTGACATTTAAGGTTAATTTGTTTGAAATATATCAATGTGGTCGTTTCTGCTGTGAGTTTATTTGTATGTGTAGTTCAAGGTTTTCATCTGAAGACAGGAGCAGTGTGAGCTAGCAGTAGGTTGCACTGTTAACTTTCTTGTACTGATTTTTTTCAACATAATGTAAGCGTTTAGTGAGGAAACCTTAATCAAATTTTTACCTGACTAAACCAGCATCGTACTTAAAGAATTCTTTTTTATTTCAGTGTTTACCATCAGAAATTGAAGTGAAATATAAAATGGCTGAGTGTTACACAATGCTGAAGCAAGATAAAGATGCCATCGCTATTCTTGATGGGATTCCTTCCAGACAGAGGACCCCAAAGGTTCGTTCTGGCAGACATTTGTCACAAGTCCACGGTCAGCCTGTCTTCAGTCTGTAGGCCAATACCTGATCAAAAAAGAACGTAGCCTGTAATGACATTGTGTCTTGATATTTCTTTTGTATTAGTGAAATGTTATTTAGAAACACTTCATAATGATTAAATTAGCTTAGGTTTTTTGGCCTCTTTCAGACAAATTTTGTATTTCCTCTGTTAGAAATAATTTTTAAAAGTTAAAAGAGTTAAATGTTTATTAATCTGTGAGAATTACCTGGTTGGTTCTTTAGTACTGCACACAGAATGTACATAATTTTGCTTGTGTACAAGGATGAAGAAACACTTTTTAAATTCTAAAAGTTTGTAAAGTATTCGTATATCCATCGGTACAAGGCTTGGAATCTGTATCGTCCATTTGAGAGTTCTTTGCATGTTATGGTTAATAGTTTTCCTAGGGCAAAGGATAACCCACGGCCTCCTTGAAAAGCTGAAGACTTTGGCAAGTAGAAGGAATGCTGGTGCTCCATCTCCTCAAATCTTTTCATCCTTTATAATAACGGTTTAGATAATGTTAAAAATGTAGATCCCATTATGGTCTGCAGTGCCAAATAGGTTGAGTCTTTGCTTGCTGGCTCTGTTATGACATAAGGGCTTAAAAGATTAACACGTCAGGTCAATCAACCACGTCTTGTGTTAACAGTATTCCTCTATGGTGCTAACAGTGTACGTGGCTTGGACTCCAGTAACGTCACAGTGTTCTCTTTAAAGACCAGCTTACGGAACAGAAACAGAAGAGGAGATTGAGAAAAGTAAACTTTTTACCTGTACACATGAGTAAGATAAAGTATTGTAGCAGAAACCAGCTACTCCTGTCATGTAGAGCTCAAATAGTTTCTGTTCTTTCATCAATCGTGACTCCATTCAGAAGCTAAATGGAAACTTTCTCTGCTTTCTTAAGCCAGTTCTCTCAAAGATTTGGATTGATACGGAGAGATCAGCTGAAAGAAGGCTAACTAATTGATTCATATAGGTTTGATTAATACAGCTAATGAATACAGGTCCTTGGCATTGTATATAAACGCTTGCCCATTTTTTGACTTACTTTGTGTACAAACCACTGAGATTTCGAGATGCACTATGCAAATACAAAAGAATGTAAATTCTATCTTTGGACTCAGGAAGAAGCAACAATTTGAATTTATACTATATTGTACGTTGTAGTGTCCTTAGAAGAAGAGTGGGTAATTTTGTCTTCTGCCCAGAACTGGAGGCAGGCAGGCATGCTGGAGGACAAAGCCGTGACCTTTTCTTAGTGAGGTTTTCTCTTTTCTCATACCTGACTCTACCAATGTTTCTGTTGCTTGTAGATCAATATGATGTTGGCGAATCTGTACAAGAAAGCAGGTCAAGAACGCTCATCTGTTACGAGCTACAAAGAAGTACTGAGGCAGTGCCCTTTAGCACTTGATGCCATACTAGGTAGGTGTCTGCACACAGTATTTCAGTATTAAACAGTGTTATAATTTGGATCTTGCTTGAGATGAGGTGACTGTCTTGCATTTACATGTAATACATAATGCATAGATTATGCAAATTATAAAACACATCGTAGCAAGCTGCTGGTTTATGCTTGTCACGAAATGAAGTTTCTGGTCTTCAGACAATTAATTTGCATTAGAAGCAGCTGATGGTGGCAGAAGTTGATGTGTGTATCGTTCTGAATAGGTTTGCTCTCGCTGTCGGTGAAAGGTGCGGAAGTGGCCTCTATGACAATCAACGTGATTCAGAGCATTCCTAACTTGGACTGGCTGTCTGTGTGGATCAAGGCATATGCTTTTGTGCATACTGGAGATAACACAAGAGCAATCAATACCATTTGGTAAGAGCTCAAAGAGCATGATGTCATCAAATAATATATTAATACAGAATTTTAATTTAAGTGGCATTATATAAATAACAGACTTTTTTTTTTCTCTTAAAGCTCTTTAGAGAAAAAGTTATTGCTGAGGGATAATGTCGACTTACTGGGGAGCTTAGCAGACCTGTATTTCAGAGCCGGAGATAATAAAAACTCTATTCTGAAATTTGAACAAGCACAAATGCTGGATCCTTACTTAATAAAAGGTGAGTAAATCCTAAAAGAAAGTTTACCTCGTGTAATGATCTGATGAGTAACGTTATAATAGCAGCTACATGCAATCAAGCACGCAGTGGAGCAGTGTATATTGTTGTACCTGGCTTTCAGTTCAGAATTTGCATTCAGAAGCTGTGTATCTTTGACAGTCACTGGTAGCTGCACAGTTTAAAGGAGGTGTTTGTGGTTTTGTTTCGGTTTTTCTTGTGAGTGAACTTTCCATTTCTTGATGACTTATCTTCAAACGTTTCGCTTTAGGAATGGATGTATATGGTTATTTATTGGCACGTGAAGGCCGCCTAGAGGATGTGGAGAACTTGGGCTGCCGTCTCTTCAATATTTCTGATCAACATGCAGAGCCCTGGGTGGTATCTGGGTAAGTTGTTTTCTTTCTTACTTCAACTCTTGTTTTGCTGAGTGCAGTGGATCACAGCTGATACAGTGGATTCACCTTTTTGTGTTCAGAAAGTGCTTTTCTATCCTGTCTGTTCTGTTCTTGGGGTAACTTAAATTAGCTTTCCATAAATATCTATTTTGGTGGTTTTCTGTATGTTTAAACTTACCAGTGTTATTGCACCTGTGCAATAATGATACATTAAATAGCTGTAATGGTTAATATTCATACTGCTTTTTAACCTCTTGAAGAGCATGGATTTTTTCCCTGAACATACATTCTTAATTTCAAACGCGAGAAGTTCAACAGTTGCCTCTTTCTTTTGTTTTTCTTTCATTTTTTCCCCCTTCTTTCTGCTTTTAAACATCTATGACTGTGCACAGGCACTACATGTTTGCAATCCCTCTTTCCGTAGGTGCCATAGTTTCTACAGTAAACGATACTCTCGTGCCTTATACTTAGGAGCCAAAGCTATCCAGCTTAATAGTAACAGTGTCCAGGCTCTCCTGCTGCCTCTTTCTTTTGTTTTTCTTTCATTTTTTCCCCCTTCTTTCTGCTTTTAAACATCTATGACTGTGCACAGGCACTACATGTTTGCAATCCCTCTTTCCGTAGGTGCCATAGTTTCTACAGTAAACGATACTCTCGTGCCTTATACTTAGGAGCCAAAGCTATCCAGCTTAATAGTAACAGTGTCCAGGCTCTCCTGCTGAACCGTGTCCAGGAAGCCATTATCCACTTCCGTGAAGCCATACGCCTTGCACCTTGCAGGCTGGACTGCTATGAAGGTGAGTGAAGTGAAGCTGCTCACGCGTGTGGTATTGGTTCGGTGTGGAAGTTGGTGATGATGATTAGCCAAGGGAATAGACAGGAGTTCTTTTTTCCTGAAGTAAATAAATTATTATTACCCTAAAACCTGTAAAGCTTTGGTAGAAGCGATCAGAACAGAAGTGATGAAGTCAGTGATCTGTAGAATGGATGTGTTAAAACGTAGGCTTATGAAAACATACAAAAGAATTCTATGAGGTGCATTGAACCTTGCACCAGTTTGTAATACGGTGATGCGTTCTAGGGTCTGTTTTCTTACAATTTCCTGGTTCTCAGTTTTTTTCAGTGGTACTTGTCTGTCTTCTATGCAGTTATTGGTTAAGTAAAACCAAACTGATTATACTGTATTAGTCAGCAGTGAAATCTTGTTTTGTTTTCTTTTTTACTTTTTCATTTATTCAAAACGGAGAGTGCTAATCCAGTTCTCCAGGCTCCCCCAGTTCCACATCTTGTGCTTTGCTGTGGGCACAGTGCTGTAGATTCCCTGCTAAAAAGAAAGTTGAGTGTAGAGTCACTTTCTCGATTGAATTTGTATTTGCTTATTGGAGTGTCAGCTGTTTGGAGTCTGAGTGCTACCAAGTGCAGATAATTAGGAGGGGTGAGTGTCTGCAGTGCTAACTTACATGTTTTCCTTTCTGTATCATCAGGTCTCATTGAATGTTACCTGGCATCCAACAGTATCCGTGAAGCTATGGTCATGGCAAATAACGTATACAAAACTCTGGGAGCAAATGCACAGACACTCACTCTGTTAGCAACCGTCTGTCTCGAAGACCCGGTCACACAGGAAAAAGCAAAAACGTTACTGGACAAAGCGCTAACACAAAGACCTGATTACATTAAAGCTGTGGTGAAGAAAGCAGAACTTCTTAGTAAGTTCCTTTTTTTTTTTCCCCATGTCAACTCATTTAAGGCCTACTGTTTTATGTGGAAGTGTTGTGCAGCCTCATCAGCGTGAAGAATGCAGCAGTGATGTTACAGCCCAGGGACGTACCAGTCCTATCTTGAAGGAAGAATTACGGGCGTTAATTTCATCTAGCAACTGATCTTACACCAGCACTTCAAACACTTGCCAACAAAATGCTTTGACTTCAAAGTATGTGTAATCCTGAGCGTAGCAGTTATTGTAACAAAAAGCCATTGTTTAGAGTTAATCTTGCAAAACATATATCGCTGCTATCCCCCATGCTGACAGTTCTGAAGGAAGAAATCGTCTTGTGATGACTCTTTGTGTACACTCTGACTTTTTATAGATCTATCTAAACTATTAATTAAAACTGTAGTTTTGCATCTAAACAGGTAGAGAACAGAAATATGAAGATGGAATTGCTTTGCTGAGGAACGCTCTGGCAAATCAGAGCGACTGCGTCCTGCACCGAATACTGGGAGACTTCCTCGTAGCTGTCAATGAGTACCAGGAGGCAATGGACCAGTACAGTATTGCCCTCAGGTAACACAGAGACATGGAGGTTGCAGTGTGTTCCTAAGAACTGGTAATCTAATCTAAGAACCGGTAATCAATGACCTGTTGGAGAGCAGTGTAGGGGAA